GGAATGCAGTGGTGTGATCTTGGCTCCCTGCAACCTCTGCCTCCTGGGTTCAAGCGATTCTCCTGCCTCAGCCTCCCAAGTAGTCAGGACTACAGGTGTGTGCCACCACGCCTGGCTAATTTTTGTATTTTTAGTAGAGACAGGACTTCACTATGTTGGCCAGGCTGGTCTCGAACTCCTGACCTAAAGTGATCCTCCCACCTCGGCCTCCCAAAGTGCTGGGATTACAGGTGTGAGTCACCATGCCCGGCACTGACATTGTTTTTTGTTTATCCTAAACTCCTCAATCTTCTTCTTTCCAGACCTCTCCATATACAGATGCTATTTCATGTTGCTCCCAACAAATGTAAACACATTTTATCATAGGAGTTACTTTTGAAAAATTTGATTTATTTCATAAATATTCCCTGTCACACCCACTCAGTAAACTTTCCCCTGAAATGGAAAATGTCTGGCTGAGAGCTATAGGAAGCAAATGGTAATACAGGGTGAAACTAGCTGTTACCAATTCTGTAGCAGGACTATCAACCTTATAAAATTTAACCTTCCACTCATTATGTTGCATTTCTCAGCCTTAATTAATTCACATAATGAAACAAAGCATTTATTGGGCAACTGTTACATTTGCGGAGAATTTTAAGGCTTTACATGTTATTCTAAAAGGATGAAAATGTATCGACCAGGCAGCCATGACAGGCATAGTCTCTTATTTGGAACAAGGAAGAGTCAAAGTGCCCAAGCTGGTGGTGGTTGTTATTGTTTTTGTTTTGTTTTGTTTTGTTTTTTGTTTTCCACAGTCTCCTGAGTAGCTAGACGTCAAGTGTGTGCCACTATACCTGGCTGAATTTGTTATTTTTTTATTAGTTTTTTTTTTTTTTAATTTTTGTTTTTCCTTATTTCTTCTTAAAAAAAAAAAAAAAAAAAAAAAAGGCTGGGCACGGTGACTCACGCCTGTAATCTCACCATTTTGGGAGGCCAATCAGGAGATCGAGACCATCCATGCTAACATGGTGAAACCCCATCTCTACTAAAAATACAAAAAATTAGCCAGGCGTGGTGGCGGGTACCTGTAGTACCAGCTACTCGGGAGGCTGAGGCAGGAGAATGGCGTGAACCCGGGAGGCGGAGCTTGCAGTGAGCCTAGATCAAGCCACTGCACCCCAGCCTGAGCGACAGAGGGAGACTCCGTCTCGAAAAAAAAAAAAAAAAATTAGCCAGGTGGGGTAGTGCTTACCTGTAGTCTCAGCTACTCTGGAGGCTGAGGTGTGAGGATCACTTGAACCTAGGAGGTTGTGGCTGCAGTGAACCGTTATCACACCACTGCACTCCAGCCTGGGTAAAAGAGTGAGACACTGTCTCAAAAAAGAAACCAAAAAAGGACAAAACAAAACATCAAGTTGGATATAGGTGTTCACATAATTTATAGAAGAAATAAAATTTGCAATTTTGAAATGCTCTCTGGTAGAGGCTTTTCAGGGGCCTAAAGGAGACTGTCAGGGAGTACCTGTGGGTAGTATAGAAGTGAGGAGCATGGTCTCTCCAGTCTACCTGTGTGGTTCGAATCTTGGCTCTGCCACTCGCTGGCTATGTGCAAATTAATTACCTTCTCTCATCTCAGTTTTCCCATAAATAAAGGTAAGAATAACATATACATATTTATTTTCTATTTCCCAGGAAGAATATAAACATTTTAAGAACAGGATAAAAATTCCTGATTTACTTCTGTAAAACCAAGTGCTGAAAGCAGGTAATGATACATGTAGGTACTTAATAAATATTTATTGAGTGAATAAATATTTAATGTCTGTTATTGTTTTAAATAGGGCATGTGATAAAGCATGTAAATAAAATTATTCACATTTTTGGTGCGTGTTAAGCATATGATCAATTGATATGGACAGGAGACAGAGAAATACTGGGTAGAAGAGGGGGGTTCCCTGGCAAGGGCCCCACCCTCAAACCTGGAAACCTGAGGCCCTAAATGAGAACAGACATTCCTATTTTTGAGCCCAAGAAATTGCCTTTTGGCCCATCATGCCCCTATCCAGTACCCATATAAACCCTGAACCCCAGGATTTCCAGCAGGAGATGAGCAGATGAGCAGATGAATGGCAGAATAGCACAGCAGAGGAGAGAAGGGAAGGAGTGTCTGAACGTAGGGAGGAGTTCGGCTAGGGATGGACGGAGAATCAACCACTGGACAGCCAACCTGCAGGGGAAGATCATCTTCCCACTCCATCCCCTGGCTGGCTCCCCATCCATCCCACTGAGAGCCACCTCCACCGCCCAATAAAACCCCACATTCACCATCCTTAAAGTTCACTTGTGACCCGATTCTTCTGCGATGCTAGTCAAGAACTTGGGATACAGAAAGCTGTCACGCTAGCCCTCTGCCCTTGCAAAAAGGCAGAGAGAGGGTCCACTGAGCTGGTTAACACTTAAGCTGTCCATAGACGGCAAGGCTAAAAGAGCGCACTGTAACACACTCCCACTTGTGCTCCTGCGCCTGTCCATCTGCGTGCTCCTCCTCCTCTAAGAGGTTTGAGCAGCTGAACAGATGAGCCACACCCCTGTTGCATGTCCTGCGAGGGAGGTCAGGTAACTCTCCTGTTTCACAATGTTACAATCCTAATTAATATAAAAATGATCTTTTCCAATGATTACATTTCCCTGCCGTGGATTCTGATTTGCATTTAGGATCATTGGCCTATATCCTAGGGGATATAGTCCCACTTTCTCGCCCAGATTCGCTTGGCCTCTCCTGATTTTGCTCCTGTCCTCTTGCCAGATCTGCTTCTAACTCTTCCACGTATACTTAATCCTGCCCAGTATGAAAGTGTTTACCTGTGCTGAACAAGCCACTATTTCATGCTTTGGGCTCTTGGTTCCTGCTGTCCTATCTACCAGAATGCCCTCTGCCCACTTTATGCACCTGATTCTTGCTCATATTCCACTTCTGTGGGCTGGCCTTCTGGGATGAAGCCCCTCAGGGCTCCTTTACTCCTCTATTATGCCTGAGCTCCTTAGGCAGAGCTGCACAGGACCCTGATACCTCTGAGTGTCACAATCCATTGAAAACAAGCAACAGAATAGCATAGAATGCTACTGCTCATTTAGGGGGCCACGGACTCTATCCTGACTCTGCAGCACGCAAGAGGACCCCTGTCTTCTGGGATCTGAGCCATTGCTGGAGGGCAGTGGGATGGAGGGAGGCCAAGCAACAGGGAGGCTTGGTGCCGCCCTACCGTGAACTTTAGGACCACTGCTTTTCCTCTCTGTGAGCATAGCTCCTCTTCCCAGTTTCTTCTTCTCTCCCTCTTCATACCAGTGGGCAGTGAGAACCTGTACAATCTCCTCAGTAAAGGTTATTTGAAAGACAAATGTTCTAGAAATTTCAGGTAATCTGGGGTTCTTCAGAGGCAGATTTTGGAGATACAACAGAACATGGAGACGCGTGTTAAGAAGTTTATTTTATAGACCACAACAGAAATTCCAGCCAGGTTTCCTTAGAGGAAATCATCTGGATGTGGCAAACAGACTGGACTTCCATTATGCTACCACTAGGGTTTTAACAGTATAGAACCGGTTTTTACTGATGGGGATTACAGCAGCATCATTAGGGCAGATGCCTAATTCCCGAATAATATCAACGACGGCTGCAATTTGCACAGTTCCTGAAAAAGACAGGGACAGAGATAATCTCTCAGACACCCCAGCCATGTCCTGTCTTTTCTACTCATATCAGGCATCTGCCTCCTGGGGTTCAGTTTCCCCAAATCCGTTGCAAATTTGTCTCCCGTATCAACTTTTTGCACACAGTGCCTCTGTCTTAGAACCTAGGTGCCTTCCCTATCTGCTTTCCCCATGCTCTTCCCTCCCTCCCCTCTGTCCTTCTGCCCTGAGGTCCTAGTCCTGCTCGGTTTTGCTGTCATGTTTCTGTTTATAGTTTCTCCTCCCTGGTGGCTGGTGGGTAGTTCCTTCCTTGGACAACTTCTGTACTTACTGTTCGTATGAAAGTCCCAGTAGTAGGTATTTGGATAATCGTCACATAGGCAGCGAGTATACTTGTAGTTAAATGTACCTTCCACAGGGACGTCACTAGTGAGGTAAACTTTAGCCTGGTGAGGAGAAGGTGGGAGGGGGAACTCATTGTTATTCTAGGGAATGGGTAAGGGATGGAAAAATAAGAGAGGGAGAAGCTGGAGGAGAAGAGTGGGGGTGGAGGTGGGCCCAGGGCAAGGGGGAGTCTACTGTTGTAGTATCATTTCAGGAGCCAAAGTCTAGGTCAGAAGGTTTTCCCTCCCAACGCCCTCAAACTCCTGCCTTAGCAGTGTGGAGAGGCTCAGGAGGAGACAGAGTTGCAAGTGAGTCCACAGAGCAAGGAGAGCTCATCCAGGGCAGCTGTCCAGCTGGGGAGCAGGCTTGCCTTAGTCACCAGCCAGAGCTTTAAATCGACCTGCAATCGCATTTACTCTGAGACCTGGTGAGACAGCAGCCTGGCCACTTGGGTGTAGGAGCCGATGTCAGGCCTTGTTGTTGGAGCTGTGACCAAGCCCCAGCTGTGCTCCTCTCTGACTTATTGACTTTTGGTGATTAGAGTTAGGCCTCTCACTCTTAATTTCCTCAGTTGTGAGATGGAAACAATTAACTACCAACTTGGCTGTTAGATAAGCAAATGACATCTTGAATGTAAATTTCTTTTTAACTTGAGTGCTTTGCAATTCAAGACCCAGATTATTGTATATATAAATTTCAGTGGAGTCAGAAGATTTTGTCCAGTTAACGTTGAATACAGCAGTTTTATCCTGGGGTCCATAGAACCAGAGGGATCTGTGGATAGCACCCAGTGAGTCTGTGAACTCAGGCGGGGGAAAAAATGCATCTTTATTACTAACCTCTAATTGAAATTCAGCATTCCTTCAGTTATGAATGTCGTCAAGGAACCACAGTGCCATTGGCAGTATGTGTGATTTTATCACAAGGAGAAGCATAGATATGTACATATCATTGTACAGATTCAGAGGTTCGAAATATTGCTTGCATACACTACCTTGAATGTATGGCAGTTATCAGACTGGCTCATGGTCATGACTGAGGCCCAGTGCCAGTCTGCCCATCTCCTGCAGCTTGCTCAGCTACCTGGCAACTCTGTACCAAGTAGCCTTTCAGCCCCAAACAGTAAATTCAGGTGTTCTCACCCTTGGAGTTTCACTCAGAATGCCTTGGAGAATCCTGGTGTTTCTTTAGAGAAGCCTAGCCGTGCCTTGTTCGTTTTTTTTTTTTTTTTTTTTAAAGAGACAGAGTCTCACTCTTGCCCAGGCTGGAGTGCAATGGCGCAAATGCGGCTCACTGCAACCTCTGCCTCCCAGGTTCAAGCGATTCTTCTGCCTCAGCCTCCTGAGTAGCTGGGATTACAGGCACCTGCCACCATACCTGGCTAATTTTTGTATTTTTAGAAGAGACGGAGTTTCACCATGTTGACCAAGCTGGTCTCGAACTCCTGACCTCAGGTGATTCGCCAGCTTTGGCCTCCTGAAGTGCTGGGATTACAGGCATGAGCCACTGTGCCCGGCTTTGTTTACCTTGCTATTACATTCGCAACAACATATCTTCATGAATCAGAATTTACACCACTTATACAAGCGATCAGAATCCGTTGCATGCCCAGCATGGCACGTGGGAAGTGTTGCCAAAGACCAGTGCAATTTAATGTACTTCTTCAAGCTAAGCAACAACATTAATCACACAGATAATGTGTTCATAAAATAAAATTCAACTCTATATTTTAAGTGTATTGCTTTCCCAGCTAATGTGTGGCTAAAGGAACACATATGTTACTACATCACAAATTTGTTTTGTATAAGTTAGTCACTGTTACTCAATGTGGTAGTTTCTCTCTGTAATCCAGTGCATTTCATACATTTAGAAGCAATTTTCTGATAAATGTTTGATAGACTTCATGAAACCAACAAAATGGCCTGTAGCACAAAAATGTTTAAGCACTGTGTTTTGCCACAAGTTTCCTTCAGCTTTAAAGGATTATGCAATCTTTATATTCAAATATACAATTGTAGGTATATTCTATGCTAATTCTAAAATAAATAAATACGAGCCTAACTTTTTCAAAAATCCAGTTACAAAAAACATTATAAATGATAGAAAATGAGGATTAGGTGGTAAGAATTTTATAGTTACATAAATATATTTTAATAAAAATTTAGAAATAGTCATACTTTGAAAAATGAAGCCAAAAATAAAAATTTGTTGACTAGAACTAACAAAATTTTCTTTCCCATAAATTATTTCTAGTTTGCAAAGTCAGTTAGTCTAAGGATTTCTTACCCTTTTAGTTGTGCTTAGGTGGGTTTTGAAAAGATTGCTTTATTTTAGAGTACTAGCATGGTTCTTAAAAGCATACTTTGATTAATCACAAAAGCACAAAATTATGTCACATGCCATTTTATTGATTCAAACATATCTTATTATACCTACCACTACCATTAACTATTACCACCAGAAACCACCATTTTCACAAAAATTTTATGTACACATTATGTACATGTTCTTATTCTCATTCTCACCTGTGCTTGTGATAAACAAAATACAAAGTTGAAAAATTATGATTCAGCCTCACTCCTACCCCAAATTAGGGTACATGTTTCAGATTCTTGGACTGAAAATAGAAAAATTTGACAAAGCAGGTGTGATATTCTTTGCTCATTGACCAGGAATTTTTCTTTACAGGTGTGGGGATATTTCTAGAATGCATTGACTGAATAGCAGTCTTTATGCTCTCAATGTTATTTTCCATGTAATCATTGTCCTTAAGTCTTGTTTGAATTAGGAAACTTATGTTGTAAGGAAATACTTGTGCTGCCTGATAGAGGGTGTCCTTCACGAAGGGTCTGGGGAGGGAGTAGGGGAGATGGGGGATGCATGGGTCTTGGCCCTAGAACAAAGGTAGTGGGGGCAGTTTGCATGCTTGTGACACCTAAGGTCAATGACTAGGAAAAGGACACACAACCAGTGTCCCAGGGAAGATTCACTGTGGATTAATAACTGCATAAGTTTCTTTTACTTCTGGTCCTTGGCAGCTAGACAGGAGGGATAATGCTCTAATCCCAAGCTGCTCAAAATGTGGTCTTTTGGGCATAGCCTTGGTGTGCCTTGGGCATCTGTTAAAACCCAGAAGCCAAGCGCGGTGGCTCACGCCTGTAATCCCAGCACTTTGGGAGGCTGAGGCGGGTGGATCACGAGATCAGGAGTTCGAGACCACCCTGGCCAATATGGTGAAACCCCATCTCTACTAAAATTACAAAAATTAGCCGGGCGTGGTGGCATGCGCCTATAGTCCCAGCTACTTGGGAGGCTGAGGCAGAAGAATTGCTTGACCCCGGGAGGTAGAAGTTGCAGTGAGCCGAGATTGCGCCACTGCACTCCAGCCTGGGCATCAGAATGAGACTCTGTCTCAAAAAAATAATAATAATAAATAAAAAAAATAAAAAATAAAAAAAAGGCCCAGAAGCTCTAATCTCTCCCCAGACTTGCTAAATGAAACTCTACATTTTAACAAGATCCCCGAGTGGGTTTTAGGCACATTACCATTTGAAAACCTCTGACCTTGTTCAGAGACTGGACTTCTGAACTTGGGGAAAAGGAGGAGATGAGTACAAGCTCCTTGTCAGGATGGGGAGGCTGGAACAAGAGTCAACTTCTGGCGACCCAGAGCAAAGGAGCAGAAGAAGTCAAGAGGATAGTAGAGTCACTCAGTGCTTATTGGAGAGGAGGAGTCACATCCTGCATGTTCTCTTCTGTCCACCCACCTCAACCTATGGTGTGGAGTTGCCACTTTCTTTTCTCCTCTCCCTCCATCCTAAACTAAACATGCTCAGGACCTTGGGAGGACTCTAACCCGTTCTCCACTAGCTCTTACACTTTTTTTCTTTTTCCCTCTTTCTCACTTCCTATTCCTTCTTCCTTTCTTTCTTATTTATCCTAGACTTCTCTGGATTCGAATTTCTTCATCTGGAAAATGAGAAGTCATCTGTCCCAAGCTCCCACAGTTGTTCTGAGTCTCAAGTAGCATAACATATATGAGAATGTTTTCTTAAGTACACTGTACATTATTAAAGTGAGAGATTAATTAAATTATATTTATAATCAAGGAATTGAATTATTTTTTGAAGTCATGCCCCCAGTCCTCTACTTACCACCATGCATTCTTTCAATTCTGTTTTAACTTGAAGCACTGCAGTGACTTCCTCATCTCGATTTGCTGTCGTGGGGATCTCAAAATTCTGTATTATGATCCTCCGACTGATTGTGGGAAGAGAGAATCAGAACACCAAGATCAGAGACCAATCTTTGAGTGAGAGGGGGAGCCATGAACAGGGGAAAGGGCACCGGATGGGCAAGGGAGGGAAATTACAGGGCTTGGATCAATTGTTCAGCATCAGAATCCCCTGGAATTTTTGTGTGTTGATTGGGTTGGTTACTTCGCACAGATTTAGTTTTGTTTAATAAAACAACTAGGACACCTTACTTTAAGATTCCTTAAAGAACTAAAAGTAGAACTACCATTTGATCCAGCAATCCCACTACTGGGTATGTACCAGAGGAAAAGAAGTCATTATTCAGAAAAGATATTTACGCATGCATGTTTATGGCAGCATAATTCACAATTGCAAAATCATGGAACCAGCCCAACTGCCCATCAATCAACGAGCATCTTCTTCCCTTCCATTGGCCAAAAACAAGTTTTTAAAAAGAAAAAAAGTACAATACCACACGCCATTTCCTGATAACATCCTATAGGCTCTGGTGGTTGTCTACTGAGTAGGAGAGCTCAAGTCATTATTAGGAGAAAATTTTCTAGGAACAGAATCACATTAAACCAGCAAACCTCTTGATCAGGGAAATGCAAATCAAAACCACAATGCGATGCCACCTTACTCCTGCAAGAATGGCCATAATCAAAAAATCAAAATCACTAGATGTTGGTGTGGATGCAGTGATCAGGGAACACTTCTACACTGCTGGTGGGGATGTGAACTACTACAACCACCATGGAAAACAGTGTGAACATTCCTTAAAGAACTAAAAATAGAACCACCATTTGATCCAGCAATTCCACTACTGGGTATCTACCCAGAGGAAAAGAAGTCATTATTCAAAAAAGATACTTGCATATGCATGTTTATAGCAGCACAATTCACAGTTATAAAATTGCAGAACCAACCCAAATGCCCATCAATCAACGAGTGGATAAAGAAACTGTGGTGTATATATATATACACACACATACATATATATATATATATATACAGTCTATCCACTATATATATATACACAGAGAGGATAGAATACTACTCAGCCATAATAAGGAATGAATTAACAGCATTTGCAGTGACCTGTATGAGATTGGAGACTATTATTCTAAGTGAACTGACTCAGTAATGGAAAACCAAACATCGTGTGTTCTCACTGATATGTGGGAACCAAGCTATGAGGACGCAAAGGCATAAGAATGATACAATGGACTTTGGGGACTTGGAAGGAAGAGTGGGAGAGGGGTGGTGAGGGATAAAAGACTACAAATATGGTACAGTGTATACTGCTCAGGTGATGGGTGCACCAAAATCTCACACATCACCACTAAAGAACTTACTCATGTAACCAAATACCAGTTGTACCCCAGTAACTTATGGAAAAATAAAATAAAAATAATAAACATTTAAAAAAAACCCAGCAAACATCTCAGTGCACTGGAGGTATTTGTAAAAGCATCTTTGAAGATCCTCCTTCTTTGGTCCCTAGGTAGGGTTTAGGAATTTGTATTTATTTAGCTCTTCAGGAAATTTGGACTTATGGCCATGTTTGGGAACTTTAGATACTACTCTACATTTAGACCATACACCACAAACTGAAAGGGAAAGGAAATGGAGACAAATAAACTAGTCGGATATTCTTCTTCAGTTAATGAGGACTGGGTTCAGGGCCAGGAGAGTTACTTTCTCTTTCCTAGAAACTTTTGGCTATGGACCTTTGTTATTGTGTGGGATAGAAGGGAATTGAGTTTCTTAGCCCACAGTGTCTCATAGCCCCATTTTCTTGGGGCAAAGCATCTTAGATTTCAGAGAGATTCTATTTTTGGGTGCCAATTGCTATAGTGCCCAGTGCACAGGAAAGGGGTATAAATACCTAAATAACTTCAAAATCTCTCCCATTTGTATATGAGTTTCAGATAGATAGGATGACCAGCTTAGCTCCAGTGACTAACCATCTCAGTTTACCCAGGACTGAGGTCTTTTCTAGAATGGGCCGTGGAGGTGGCAGGGGAGGGCGGAGTTTCAATGCTACAAACAGGAAAGTCCTGGGCAAATCAGGATAGTTGATAACCCTAATTAGCATAGGTTACTTGAATACCTTGCTGCCCTTCAGGGCTAAGTTGACTGTCATCTGGTGGGGAGGGGGTGGGATCTGAACCTGTCCCACGCAGGGTTTCTTGGGACACTTGCCTCCATTAAATCAGCTTGTCAAAACTCTGAACAGTTTCCTCCAGGACAGGATATCTGGCCATGCCACAGAGAGTACCTCCAAGATCACAATTCAGAAACCCAGCATTATAAACCCTACTGCTATAGAGAAAACTCCCTAGATTGGGCATCGCTGCTTTTTCCCAGACCCCTGGCTCCATTTTCTACTTTATTTTACTTGCTCCAGTTTTTCTGCTTCCTTCACACATGTGTTCTCAATAAGTTGACTTCCAAACCTGTGCTCTCAGGTCCCAGTACACATGAGAGCAAGAGGTGCTCATATTCATCTTCAGACTTCAGGTTAAGAAGAATGTCTAAGCTGCCAGTCTAGCTCAATCTTAGACCACAGGGCAGGGGCCAGGACCTCTGGTCCTTTAGCCAGTCCTGCCAAAGCTGCCCTAAGCTGCCGTTGGAACTCAGATCTGTTATGCTTCTCTTCTAGGAGGCAAGGTGTGAGAAGGTTAAGTTCACTGAGCAGAAATCTGAACAAAGGTATAAATTATGAACAAGATATGGACCAGCATGTTAGATGAAGACTAACTACTAATTATAGCCTGTAGGTACATTTGGAGCTTTATCTCCACTGGCAATACAGAAACACCCAGCAAAAATGTGAGAGGAGTTGGTGGGGCTTCCTAAGAGGACAGAAGTGGAACCTGGCAGGAGGTCCATGGGAGCTCCTGGGACTAGAGTTCTGGGAAGTTGAAAGAAATTCTCAGAAAGAGATATGTAGATTTCCAGATTGGGAGAGGAGCCCTCCCTTGAAGGCTTTTTTTGTGGGGAAGAGAAGGTCATGGCTCACGTGTTTTCCTGAGCTTTGTTGGCCCCCAAATGCAGGCAGAGAACCAGGAGCAGGGTGGCAGGGCTGGCCCTGAACAGGAACTGGAGCAAGCGCATGCTGGAGAAAACAGAAGGCGATGTGTCCCCGAGAAGTGGTGTCCCAGGTGCCTAGCACACTTCTTATATACAGATTGATCAAGGAAGTACAAGAGCTGCCAGGGAGATCCATGAGGTGAATCACCCACTCACCCTCCCACCTCGTGATCTTTCCTTGTTGACCCAAAGTTTGTTTTTCTAAGAAAAAATCAACACTCAGCTAGAATGGCAGCGTTTGAGAGAGGAGTTAGATTGTTCTTCCTTATTTTTTCAGTGTCAGAGTTTCTCAAAATGGCTGGGACCTCAAAAGATACACCAGTTTTTCCCGAGTTTACAGATTCAGTTTTCTTTTCCCTCCTAATTTGTTTGTCTGAAGTGCTGTGTGTAGTCTGAGCTTCAGTCACTGCTCCCCTGGTCTCTGAAAGCAGAGAATCCAGCTGTGGTGGCAGGTTTCAGACCACAGGCATAGAACATCTTTGCTTGATCAAATTATAGTGAGCTCAAGATGCAATGCTATTCAGAACATTTCTTGGGGAGCTAGGATGATCAAGACTTCCCTAGCAGTCACTACCCATCATGAGGTGGAAGAGCTAGGGAAGACCTGAGCTGCTCCGCATAATGGGGAAGTAAGTTCAAGACACTGGGTGACGTAAAGATGTTTATTATCATTGAGTTCTTCTTAATTTCAGGTGTGGTTGCAATATACTGCAGATGCCCAAGATCCCCAGCTGCCCCACAACCCCCAAGGCAGGGTGACATTTTAATTCTAGACAATTCCTATAAATAGCTGGCACCCCCAAATCAGACTTCTTGGCACCAAAGAGCTGGCTCATTTTCTTATCGACATGGCCACTTTCTTACACTTGTCTCATGCGTAAGCCACATAGGAAGACCCACAGTGGAAAGGACTCCTTCTGTAAGAATGGAGCCCACATTATGTCCAGTAGATACCCAGGTTGTAGAATTCCTGTCCTTGGGATGATGGGGAGACTTGCTCTTGCTGACACTGGCATTGTGCTATTTCTCCTTATGAAATTAAATCTGTTCCTTAACCTGTAGCTTGCAACACTATGGGATTTGTTTCTATTCTTTGCATGGTAGACAGCTGCCCAGGAAGAGCCTCTCTGGTAAGAGAGTGAAAATCAAAGTTCTAGGAGTTACCGCCTCTGTATGTTGCTTTAGCCAGGATTCAGAGCTAAAGTGTAAGTGTGTGCTTCTGCTTTCTGTATGTATCTCTCCTGCATCTACTTTCTCTTTCCTTTGAATTGGACACCATTCATGTCATTGCTCACTTAAAACTTCAGCTGTTCTCATGATCGCAGGCTTTCTTCCCTGTTTATGCCCTATCCACTCAAGAACAGTGCTCGCGAGGGTCACAGTGACCTTCCTTTGCAAGCCTTTTCCCACATTTAAATTGTCTTTACACCTGGTCCTTCTCACTTGAATAATTTCCATTTGAAGCACACACTAGCTAGACTGACCAAGGCAGGCATAAGGCAGAAGAATCTAGGAAGTGTCTGTGTGGGAAAATGCAGGAAAAGTTCTTTGCTGGGCTCTTTGAAGGCATAGCCCTGTCCTTGAGGATGTAACTCCAGCACTCCCAAAAGGCAGTGTTCAGAGGAAGGCAGATGACAATCGGTTAAGAGCATCTATTGAAGGTAATGAGGTTGTTCTTCTGTGAGCCAGCAGGAAACTGCAATACCTACAATCCTTCAATGTACAGAACAATTTTTTTTTTTTTTTTTTTTTAGACAGAATCTCACTCTGTCAGCCAGGCTGGAGTGCAGTGGCATGATCTCAACTCACTGCAACCTCCACCTCCTGTGTTCAGGAAATTCTCAAGCCTCAGCCTCCCGAGTAGCGGGGATTATAGGCAGGTGCCACCATACCCAGCTAATTTTTGTGTCTTTGGTAGAGATGGGGTTTCACCATGTTGGCCAGGCTGATCTCACATTCCTGACCTCAAGTGATCCACCTGCCTCAGCCTCCCAAAGTCCTGGGATTACAGACGTAAGCCACTGTGCCTGGTCCAGGACAAGTCTGATTCAGGCCATGACTGCTGTGATGGTTACTTTTATTTGTTACCTTAGCTAGGCATGGTGCCTTTTTGGAAAAACAGCAGTTTAGATGTTGCTGTGAAATTTTTGTTTGTTTGTTTGTTTTAAATGTGATTAACATTTAAATCAGTAAAATTTGAGTAAAACAGAATACCTCCATAATATGGGTCAGACTCATTGAATCAGCTGAAAACCTTAGGAGAAAAGCTTGAGGTCCCTTGGGTAAGAAGGAATTAGGGAGAAAAAGAAAACATAATTATTATGCCATAAAGAATAAAAAAGTCTAGGTTTAAGAAATCAAATAAAGGTTGATAAAATCAGATTGTAAACAACTCAGGAAGCTTATAGAAGAGAACGTGTATAGTCCCAGAGGGAATGGGTTAAGATATAAGCGAAACTTGCCACAGGCAAAGCTTGCAAAGGGAAAGATGATCTTAGTTCTGACAGGGCTCATGAGAGAAGATAAGGAATGGACAAAGAGAGGGAGTTATAGACACCAACACACATGAAGCATATGCTGTGTGCATTACACTGCTCTAAACATTTTAACATATATTAGTTCAACCTTTATTACAACCCCGTGAAGGTGGTTGCCATTTTTATTCCATTTTACAAGAGGAGAAACAGAAACCCAGGGGATAAATATCTAGCCCAGATCACATAGCCAGTATATGGCAGAGTCAACTTTGCATGCAGGTTTTGTGGAATCTGAGTTTTGATTTACAGTATCTGAGAACCTCTTTTTGAAATAGAATCCAAACTTACAAATGTAAACTACAGGTACAGGATCTTGGAGGAGGCACCCATAAGTAGGAAGCCCTGAGGCTTCATGCCATTAACTTAATGGCGAATACACCTTTGGATGGGGCCAGAATTTCCATGCTGGCAGTCTGGCCCTGGAACATGATCCTTTAACCACTGCACTGCCTACTGGTGAGAACAAGTTGCAAAGTTAGTAACTGGCAGAGTTAGGGGTTCAAAATCAAGTAGTCTGATACCAGAGTCTATGTCCTTAAACACTTATCTAGTCTATTTATTGATGTAGCAATAGTTTAAAGTTGAGAAAAGGAAACTCACAGAGGTTTTAATAAGTTGTTCAGTCACAGAGCCAACAAATAACAAAGGTATTGCAGTTTGGCTTGGCCATATGACTAAGCCAAACCATTGGAACCCAGATAGAAGTGAATCCGGAGTTGGCACTTAGAGTGACTACTGTATATTTCCTCTTACTTAATAAAAGCATAATTGGCACAAGACTTGTACAAGGGCATCTAATGCATACTGAAGATGTAATGAGTTGTTTCTTAGAGGAGGTTATATTCAAGCAAAATCTCTCAGAGGTGAGAGAATTTGGAGTGTGACTCTTAGAAACTCTGTCATATTTAGTATCCTTCCTTCCTTTCTCTCTCTCTCTCTCTCTCTCTCTCTTTCTTTCTTTCTTTCTTTCTTTCTTTCTCTCTTTCTTTCTTAATTTTTTTGATGGAATTTCACTCTTGTCATTCAGGCTGGAGTGCAGTGGCGCAATCTTGGCTCACCGCAACCTCCATCTCCTAAGTTCAAGTGATTCTCCTGTCTCAGCCTCCTGAGTAGCCAGGATTACAGGCGCTTGCCAGCACTCCCAGCTAATTTTTTTATTTTTAGTAGAGATGGGGTTTCACCATGTTGTCCAGGCTGGTCTCAAACTCCTGACCTCAGGTGATCCGCCCCCCTCCGTCTCCCAAAGTGCTGGAATTACAGGCATGAGTCACCATGCCTTTAGTGTCATTTCTAAGGTCACCCTGGTGATGTAGGGGTCAAGGGAAAAATTTTTTTCTGCCTTCTGAAATTTCACTGAAAAATAAACTGACAAAAAGTAGATTAATAGGAGAAATGGCATACAAGTTTATTAACGTACATGGGAGAGAATGACAGAGTGATTACCTCCAACTCCTCCATGGGGGTACAGAAGCTCATGTACCATCTTGAGGTTACAGAAAGAATGAGGTCTTGGAGCATGGCCAAAACCAGATTATGGTAGTAAATTAGGTTACAGTGGTGCTACAGGTTATGGGAGGGGAGAAGAGGAAGCCTGGCTAGCAAAGGTGGTCTTGCTATTGTCGACCAAAAGAGTTAAACTCTGTAAAATATTTTAGGAGATTTATTCTAAGCCATATATGAGTGATCATGGCCTGTGACACAGCCCTTAGGAGGTCCTGAGAACATGTGCCCAAGGAGGTCGGGGTATAGCTTGGTTTTATATATTTTAAGGGAGGCATGAGACATCCATCAAATACATTTAAGAAATACATTGGTTTGGTTCAGAAAGGCAGGACAACTCAAGGGTGGGGGACGGGGGAGAGGTCTAGGCTATGAGTAAATTTAAACATTTTCTGTTTGACAGTTGGTTGAGTTTATCTGAAGACCTGGGCTCAATAGAAAGAAAATGTTCAGGTTAAGATAAAGATTGGGGAGATCAAGTTTTATCATGCAGAAGAAGCTCTCAGATAGCAGACTTCAGAGAGAGCAGGTTGCAAATGTTTCTTATCGGACTTAAAAGGATGCCTGGCTCTTAGGTGATTATCTCCTGGATCTGGAAAGGAAGGAAGGAAAAGAAAGGAATAAGGGGATTCTCTATAGAATGTGGATTTTTTCCACAAGGGACTTTGCAGGGCAATTTCAAGGCATGGCAAGGGAATTTATTTGGGGGTAAAACATTTTGATTTTCCTCCTTGTTATGCCAGAGTCAGATTGGAAAGTAAGTCACAATATACAGGGTTAAAATAAAACCTATATGATGAGCTTTTATGGTCTCCAGACCCCTTAGATAGGAATTTGGCCAAGATTAAAACAAACAAATACACACACACACACACACACACACACACAAACCAAAAAACAAAAAACAAAAAAACAGAGCTTAGTCCTTACTATGCAGGTGAAATCTCACAGGTAGTAGCCCTTAGAGATAATAGGTGGTAAATGTTTCTTTCAGACCTTTAAAGGTATCAGACTCTCAGTTAATCTTTCCTAGATCTGCAAGGGAGGACCTTAAAAAAAGCCTGTTGCATCAGTGCAGATTCTCTACAGACTCCAATCTTCCCCACAAAAGATAACTTTGCAGCACTGCTTCTGTTTGCAGATCCTCTAACAGCCATCTCAAAGTATGCCAAGGAGTATCTTTTTGGGTGAAATAGTTTTGTTTTCTTCAGGTATTAGTATTCAGCTTTTAAGAGGTGAAAGAGAGGATGGAGAATTGTGGAGGGTTATTTTTTTAATGGGCAAGATTTGGAAGTGGCTTCCAAATCATAGAATGTCATTCATTCTTTGTCCCCATGGTCACAGCTTAGTGATATAGCCAAATCAGACTGCAAGAGACATTGGGAAATTTAGTATAGCTGTGTGCTTAGGAGGAAAGGGAAAAAGATATGGTAAGTTGCTGTGTTCCCATACATATGTGGTATGTGTACCTGTGTTTTGAATAGAGAATGTCATCCTAAAATAATCAAAAAGGTCAGAATCTAGTTGAAAGAGAGCATAACGCTTGAGAATGTGCCCACCAGCAAGCACAGATTCCAAAGAATGGAAGTCAGTGTTCCAAAGTGTAAAAGTTTCAGATCATTTATATAGATCAAGTTCAGGGAAGTTTAGCAGAATTTCAACACCTTTCTATGGAAGGCTTAGTTACAATGGTCTGATTAGTTGAGGTGGTTTTTTTTCTTTCTGGAAAGATATCTCTAACATTTCACACTGAAGATGTAACTGTCAGGGTGTCTCTTTTGGGGGTGCAAACTGGTCTCAGTTAGATACAGAAAAATAAAGGAAGCAGTTAATCTAGAATAAATATTAGTGATTGGAAGGAGGAAGTCTGGTCTCTGGTCTTTCTTAGTCATTTACAGAACCAGAGCAATGAGGAAGAGGGTTAAGCTATAATCTAAGAAACAGAATTGCAAAACATGCTACATGACTCAGACCACAGTAACAGCTCTCTCAAAGTTTAAAGAGTTTGCAGTGTTCTAACAGATTTTAAATGTTATTCATTTTCACAAGAATATCAAAATGTTTTCCAAAGTTGTGGTGCCATTTTATACATCGAACACGTTTCCCAATATTTAACATTGTCAATGCTTTTAATCTTGGCTTTTCTGGTGGATATGTAGTGGAGCTTGTTGTGATTTTACTTTGAATGTTTGTGATTATTAGTGGTATTTAGCCTTTTTATATGTCATCTGGATATTATATATTCCCTTTTGTGAGGTGCCTATTCAAACCTTTGCCTGTTTTTCAATTGTAACTGCCTGAGGGATTCTTTCTGCCTGTTGCACAAAGAAAGACCATGGCATTGCAGTAAAGAAGGTTTAAATGACCTGAGGCTGGCCACACCACGTGGGAGATGGAAGTGGTACTCAAATAAATCTCATCCAAACTCATAGTTAAGAGGATTTTTTCAAAGCCAGTTTGGGGAAAGGCGGGCGGTGGTCAGGTAATGGGTGCTTGTTGATGATTGGTTGGATTGGAGACGAAATCATATGGGGTTGAAGCTGTCCTAGTAAACACCCAAGGGGTACACCTTGCCTGCTGCCTAGACAGAGTGCCAATTCATCAAGACAGGACTTGCAATAGAGAAAGAGTAATTCAAGCAGAGCAGGCTGTATGGGAGACTGGAGTTTTGTTACTCACATC